CAGAATCAGTTCTGTTAATTTCAGTATCTATCTTCTCCTTCAGGCACCTGACAAAATTATCTTCACAAAAATTGAAAGTCCTATGATTTTTATAAACAGTGTAATGAATACTACTAAAAACTTCTAGATATGAAATAGAGAGCCCTAAGCAGTACAAGGTAAAGCCTGAAGGCTCTCAGTCTTGCTGTTTAAAACCTCCTGCGGGACCCCAGATGCACTTCTGTAACACATACAAGAGGTAATGATACTGCACAGAGCTTTTGTTCTTGATTTGTACTAACTCATTGAGCCAATGGAGAATCAAAGCTCTCAATTATCTGAAAGGCAAAGGGCCATACAACAGCCTTTGCAGCTTTGATCCTTCATAACTTTAAGAAGTTTTGCATCAGGCCAGCTAGTGGATGACGTGATATTAAACAAGACACTGCAGAGTGAAGGATTGTTCTGGTTAGGTCCATCTCCCCTCGATTTTCACCCTGAGCCCTTATTTAAACAAATACATGACCCTTTCCTTTTCATTTAGAGGAAAGAATATGCAATTACACACTTTTAAATACAGCCTCCATGTCTTTAATTAAAATCTTATATTCATGAAGTAAAGTCCTGTCATTTATTTCATTGCTAAAGCTGAGCTACTTGGGGTTTAGGTGAACCTGAAAATTAATAAATCGGCATATTAGCTGTAAACTACAGTGGATTATTTCCTGTTTCTGCCAGCTGATCCATCCGGAGAGATCCTGTAAAAGTTCAGGCAGAGCTGTCTCCACTGATTTTTTTAAAGAATGAAATCACAATCCTGACATGTAAGAGTTTATTAAACATTCCTTTGGTTAATGCCACTAGCTGTCATGGGAAATGAGCTATACAATCAATATAATAGGCACATCCCCTCCTCATGTGATGAGGATAACTCTGGCTGCCACGTCATTTGGTGGAAATGAACCATTTATATTCATGAAGATGGCAATGCTCCTCTGAACTTTTAATCTAACAAAGCCTGAATTTTATCAGTCCGCTTGTCCAAATTCTTGGAGAAGTTGTGCCAAGATGAGTGAGCTGTGTGTAGGTAACATGTTGGTAAAGCCTTCATGGAATAAGGCGGCTCCATATCTCACGTGACACTCCACTGTGTAATAAATCCTGGTTATTCCACGGAGAAGGGAGAGCTGCAGCAGGATGTATCCTATAAGCAAGTGTGGAGGAGAGCAGCATTACAGGAGTAGGCTTCAGAAGTTCTACCTGATAAGTAAGGGTGTTTCACCACTAAATAAAAGAGGTCCAGGGCAGTGGTCAGCACTGCAGGTCTGATCACTGCTTCACTGCTAGCTCATTTCCTCACCCTTCCAATTTTTCTGTTTTAAAGTCCTCTGCAAAGATACTGGTCAGAGAGAAGGTGAAAATAGAAAGGACTTGAGGAAAAGTCAGAAGTCCAAGGGCCTGTCCAGGAAACAAATCAGTCAAGTTATTTTTGGTGTTTTGGAAACCAGACAACTTTTTGGTTTCTAGCACAAGATTCTGGAGAGAGTCTTATCCTGCCGGCAGCTGTGCCACCACAGATGCGGTAGAGTCCCTTGGCCAGGGACACACATCAGATCGGCTGAGAGGTGGAGCTGACCATAATGTCTCTTGGCTTTTCTCAGGAACGGAAAGCTTACTGGAGATCCTCTGACTTGGAAGATCGTCCCTGTGGCCATTTCCAGCAAGGAAGCAAATACTACCACTTTCTTTACCTACAGGCTGACACAAGAAGGATGACTTCTCATTCCTTCTGACAAATCTCTTTTGTGGATTTTTCCACAGAAATGAATTATCGCACTCATGGGTCCTGGCTAAAGTCCCAAAATCTCAACTATGTGGAACTACCTGGAGCCATAATGCAATTACATAGGCTGAGGTTCTCAGCTTCAAGTGAGAGCTCAGATTTTGAATTAGGGAAGTGTGTAAAAATCCTTGCTGGGGTCAAAATGAGAAGTGAATGGTTATTAAGTGATTGAATGAGGAGTCCTGACTGAGACTCTGTTCCATGGGAGAGTTAAAACAACAGAAACATGAATAGGCCATTGGACTTGTTTTTTAAGTTAGATCATATGGAAATCTTTAAGGATAAATATTTCAGAAAAACAGATCAGTTTACAGCCATAAATAGGGAGAACAGAACTCTTCTTTCTCTTGCTTGCTAGTATCAAAATTCAGGATTCCCTCTCTGAACGTTAGATCAATGCAATTAGTGTAATTCTTTGTCCCACTTTATTATAGCCATCCCAAAGAGCTACAGATTAAACATGTTTCCTTAAAGTGTGATTGTAGCACATGGGAAGACAATGTTTCATGGACATTGCACACAGCCTTTTGAGAACTTGCTGTGCTGCACCTTTAATTCAATCAGGGAATATTAAAAGGACCATTAAAGACATTGGCCCTTTTTTTTTTTCCAAGTAGTATGACCTCAGGCAGACACCTATAAGTTTAGCATAATGCCAAGATATTAAGAAAAGACTATTATTATAACATCAGTGACCATTACAGAAAAACCTAATGAACCTGTCAAACTTATCATTAGTTTTAGACACACAGAATAAAGCATGACATTGGAGTGAACCACAGACTGTATTATATCACTAGAAATTATATGGTCCTCATCTTATCTGAATCAATAAAAAATGCTATTTGGTCTCCATAAACTTTCAGACAGTCATAATATAACCCTATTCCTAAATACATAATTTCTGTTCTTTTGCTGAACACTTACATTCTCAATGTCTAATATCAGTGAAACCGCAGTGAATAATTTTTTGACATGTAAGAAATGCATTTTCTTAACATACTCCATTTGTTGAAAACAATTTTTTAAAATATCAAAAAATATTCTGTGTTTCTATTCTAAGCAATACATAAACCACTCCTAGTGAATGCTAAGCAGAGGAAATGATTTCTATGTTTATAGAAAGTGTAAAGGCTGCCAACCAACATTTTGTGTACATCTCAAATTATTTATCCCACTGCAATCTTTTCTGACAACAAGGTAATTGCTTCAATAATACAAAAACTAGAAAATAGCTTTTGCCACACAAATCTTAGTAGTACATAAAATAGAAAGCGGGGTATAACTATTGAACAGAAAATCATATTATGAGGACTATATTTCTTCATAGCACAATTCTTTCAGTATCAAATTCAGAAGAGCATTTCACTTATTCCTGGAGATATTTTTTTTATTCTTTGTTACCTGAAAAGTTCCATACATGTTTTATATTTATTAGTAATACTCATTTCTGGTAAACACCATTTTGCACATCAGAAATGCTTCTTTTCTTTAGAAGTAAATAAAAAGAAGATCAAAAAGAGCTGCAAACATTAAAAATCTGACATCAAAAAGGATGAAAAATTCGTAAAGCCATGTCAGAGAAAAAGCGTAGGGCAGCAGTGCCAGAACAATGCCTGCAACATGATCAGAGAAAGGAGGGTATCTAATGAGTCAAGACTGGTATTAGGCATCTCACTAAGGCAGTTTGATCACTGAGAAAAATGTATCATTTTAACTCAGACGGTTCCATAAGGAAACTCCTTTTTTGTAACCTTGTTAAATTAGCCCCCAAAAATCCATTTTTTAGAAAGCTCTTTGATGTGCCTACCTATAACATAAAAGCCAAGACCTCTGCCTGCCCTTCAAGAGCAGATCAACACATTAGAAATGTAATGAGGAACATTAGGCCAGGGAAGAAATCGCGGGCTCTGCAACTGCTGGGGAATGTGAAATCACCTTTTTGCTGAGCAAGTGAACCACACCAGAATGGTAGAGATATGCCGCTACTGTGTGCTGCACAGTCTGTGTTCAAGCCTGTCTTGAGCACAGCTTGTCTTAAGCAAATTTTCAGTAATATTTAGGTAATAAAGCAAAAGATCCAAAAGATTTCCTTAACTCATGTCTCAGTTTGAGAGGTGACAATTTTTGGACACCTTTCACTCCCAGTGCACTAACTGATGATACTAATAGGCAGTATGCTCAATGGCTTGTCGTGGCAGATCTCTATGTACATTTACCCAACTTCCCAACCACTGAAAGAAGTTGGGCCTCTGTAAAGTGTTCAATGATATGAAAGTGCAAAGTAAAAGGTGCCTTTGGCAACACCATTGGGCAGGTGTGATATGTAAAGCATCCTGCAGCCCTAAGCCTCCAGCGTGCACCCTGGCCATACCCCAGCAGCACTGAAGGGTACTCGCCCTGGCTGGAGGGCAGGGGGAGTCCTCTGCTCCAGATAATCAGGAGGTCAAGACTGCAGAGTGACCTATGAATAGCCTAGAGATAGCAAGACGGACATAGGGCCAACGGTAACAGCACCGGTAATCAGAGGGACAAATCCTACGTCTTAGTGCCTTCTTTAGAAAAGTGTGCATCCCAGGCCTAAAACAGTAAATGCTTCACAGCAGAGAGAAGATGGCATGCCCCAAACACTGGTGCCTGTGACCTCAAGGACATAATAACATAGTCCTAAAAATTTCTTTTACGTAGCATTTCGCTACAGCTCTGTGTCTCACTTATTACTCGGTATGACCCTGAGGCAGGACTGACTGAGCACCCTAACAAGGTATCACTCATCCTGAGCTGACAGAATGGCACTAAAAAGCCAGGAAGGGAATGAATGCTCCATTTACTGCTGGAGTTAGGCTGATCAAGGGCTATGAAAGGGGTTGGAGGGGGCGGGGGGACAGATTTACAAATACTAAATTTTTTTAAAAAAATCATAGGCAAGAGATTCTGTCACAGTTTGCTGTGCCCGTTATCAGTGATGAGATATTGATGTAGCACAAAACAAATAAAGAAATACAACAGTAATAATCTCTTAATCTTGTTCAGTTTTTCATGTTCCCCATAAGTGTCATACCTTCTTGTGAGTCTTAAGGTAGAGCAAAAGAAGTAAATGACAGTTTCAGATGGAGTGGTTTTGATAAATACAAGCTGTTACAGTGGAGGTTTATTGTTTCAATTTTTCTTAATGCAGAACCCACTGCTGCTCCCATCGATGTCAAAGCTACGAGTTTGTCTGTATCAGAGATTCTTGTTGCGTGGAAACACATTAAAGAAAGTCTAGGAAGACCGCAAGGATTTGAGGTATGAACACAGAATATCATAATGAGAAGTCTTGTTGCTTTTGCAAGCGTTGCATTCTGTTAACATGTGCAGTAGTGAAACTTCAATAGAAATTATGCTCAGTTTAGCATACATATGACTAGCTGTAGAACAGCGGTCACAGCTGTAGCACTGGAACATCTTTTATTTATTTGTGCTTGAAAACTGTTCAACACCAGTTCTTATAACATCTCTTTGATGGTTCAAAAAGAGCTGAAGAGGTGACCCAGCATGCATCTTTCACAGGCTGGGGAAGATTAGGTATTGACTGTTTCCAGCTCTAACTGACCTGTCAAACTTGTTATTTACTGAGAGCCATCAGCACCGAGAAAGGGAAGAGCCTCTGCCATCCCCATGCTCTCATCCCGCAGTGGCCGGGGCACATCTGCCGAGCAGATCATAAAAGGTCAGATGTTGGGAGGGGAAGCAGCAGCCACACAGTCCACAAGTAAAGCTCTGCTTAGAGACAGCCCTTCCTGACTTGGGAAAGAGAACCAGCCCTGGCAATGGATCTTCTCACATTTTTGGATCCTGTTGTAGCTTTGGATTCAGTTCACAATGCAAACTTCCAGGAACAGATCGGACCTAGGACTAAACCTATCCTTTGGGGACATCACAATCCATCCCAACCTTGTGGTTCAGGCTACGTTGATCCTCATAAAATAGCTCAGCCAGACTCATTTTACTGATTTTGGGGTGCAGGTTATTTGACCTGTTTTAGTCCTTTAGAGAGTGCTGACCCTTTCCTGATTCTCTACAGTAACAGTGAAAAGAGGGTAAACATGTCGATCTGAGGCAGATACCAATCATAAGGACATCTAAAGGCATCTTGTGACCTACTAGCACAGAATGTCTCCCTTGCAGCCTGCCCAGACAAGACCTGGGGGCTGGTGGCCATCACTGATGGCTTTAGGAAGGAAACGCAGGTACCCAGGCAGCACCAGAGCCACCACGCTCTCCAGCACAGCCTCAGGCTGGACAGCCGTGACCAGGACATTTACCCCACAGCTTAGACAGTCAGTTAGCACTGTTTTACCTGATTACTGTAGCCTCTTGATACCCAGATACTCCCATATTGCTATCCAGCACAGCCCGGGCAGGTTGTGACTATGGCCTGTCCCCTCAGGTCTCTCATTTGTTCAGGTCTCTTTCCCATATACGCCTCCATGCTGAACTCTGCAAACCCTCTGTCAGTTCTCTCTCATTGTACTTTATCCCCACTCCTTCCTTACGTTAAAAGTGTTTTTACCCATTTGCCCATGGCTTGCTTCATGCAGTAAAAGTGATATCTAACCATTTTACCTTTAGAACTGCTACATATAAAGAGAACAAAACTGTATCTGATAGAGATGATATTCACCTTGCAAATGCTACCTCTCTCCACATTGAAGTGTTCCACTTGCTACTAACCTTTGTCTTCAATTTCCAGGCCACTCTTTTATTCTCTGAAATAACTTACTCACTGCACCCTGTCTTTTTCTCTTCAGAAAGGTGGCTGTTTGCTACTCCCTCTCAGATATCTTGACATCTTTTAAATTACACCTACTATTCTTACTCTTATCCTCATTCCATTGATTGCATTGATTCTCAAAATGTTCTATTAACTTTGTTTTACATATTTTACAATAAAAAATATATTTTCTTTCTATTGAAAAATTGAAAAATATTTCCCTAGAAACATATTCTTTCATAACCTGAATGTATTTTGCATTTACCTGCTTGTCACATAACATTTCCCTTAGCTCTACGGATGTGTCCTAGTGATCAATGGCTGTTGCAGGTAGGACAGTGGGCTCTCTTTGTATCAGAGGTGGTCTTCCTGGCTTGCAAAGTCTTCAGACCTTTGGAGTTCAGCTTACTCTGACCCCACCAGTAACACTCACCTGCTCCATGTCTCTCACAGACTTCTTAGGAATGAATTTAGAAATTGTTATTGATACAGCACAGGCTATTAACATTGAACCTTATTAATAATTTGACTTCTCATCAATTTTAGGATTCTAGCATGAGGATTACAGAGGAAATGTTTCAAGCCAGGGACCTGCAGTTGACAGAACAAAAACATGAAATATAAAAATAAAAATACTTCACTGCCCCTTTCTACCTTGTACCATGAGGGAATTAGAGGAGCCTTCTGAGTTACTACTTCTATCTGGGGAGAGGAAGGTGCTTTTTTTTTCTCCCTCCTCCTTTTCGCTCTTTGTTCATTTAGCCAGAATTTCTCTGCCCACTTTCTGACGGACAAATCTTTCAGGGAGTAGTTTGCACTTTTCTGTCCTCATTCCCAGGAAGAATTATGTTCAGAGCAGTCCTTACTCAATAAACAAAAGAGTAAATGCTGCTCTCTTGTTTTTTTCAGGACAGAACACAACCTGAGGATGGTATTGCTAGATTTTTCAGTTCCATTTTTGGGAAGGATTTTATCAGAAAGGAGATAATGATTTATAGGATCAGTATAGTGAGTCAGTGCATTACAGTATTCACTTAGGAACATTAAGCCCACACTATCAGCCCAATTTTGCTAACATACTGACAGTTTCTCTTTAAACCATCCCCTCAGTGCAAAACAATGACTCTATATAGCAAGGCACTGGGCCTAAAATCCCTCCACAAAAAAAAAAAAAAAAAACACCAAAAGTACAGAGCAGCTTTATACTTTCCTTATGATTCACTTTCTTCAGCTTCTGTGAACACTATTTTAATTTAGAAAATGATTCTGAAAGTTTTATCATATGTAGTACAGCGCAGAATATAGCCTGCAGTACTCCCTTAATCCACAACTACCAAATAGAAAATGTAAAGAAATCCAGAGACTTTGATAAAAAGACGAATCAGTTATATTTTTTTAACAATTATTTCCTAATGTAGGATTATTGTGGACCACAAGCAAAATGCTGTTTTCAATTCAAATTGAATGCAAAATAATCTGACTAGCCACTCTGTTTTCATGTCTCAATTTGTATTCTGCCTGCAGTCACCACAGCAGTGACAACCACCTACATGGTCTTCACATTTCCTGGCCTTTTAGCAACAGCATTATAGAAGAGGGGGCTATTTTTTTGGCATTTGAATGTTTGGACTCTAATCGACAGAAGTGACAGAATATTTACTACACATGGACAAGCTCACAGTGACCCACTTTAGCTCCAGCCCTGTTTGCACTTTGTACTAAGGAGTAATGAAAGGCAAAGTAACTTGTCCAATTTCACATTGTCATCCCTGAAAGGCAGTGTTAACTGTTATGTCACATGAGTTTTATGCAAGGTTTGCTGTACTCATTTGCATCTTCCAAAGCACATATTATTCCTGACTTCAGTACAGGTTTGTCAGCTGTCCGCCTGACCTTACTAAATATATGCCAGCTACACTCTGATAAAGTAGAAGTAGCTTGAAAACTTTGTCAGAATGGTAGAAAAATACAGTGTGTGGTTCATACTTATTGTTTAGAATCCATAACCTGAAGGTTATAAAATCTATTTCAGCCCTAGGCAATATTTTCTTTGTCACTCACTACTGGTAGAGAAG